CCCGGCTGCCCCCCCACACTGCTCACACCTGCCCGGCTGCCCCCCCGACATTGCTCACACCTACCTGGCTGGCCCACACATACTGCTCACACCTGCCTGGCTGCCCCCCCACACTGCTCACACCTACCTGGCTGCCCCACACACTGCTCACACCTGCCCAGGGCCCAGCTGCCCCCACACACTGCTCACACCTGCCCAGCTGCCCCCCCAACACTGCTCACACCTGCCTGGCTGACCCCCCACTGCTCACACCTGCCTGGCTGACCCCCACACTGCTCACACCTGCCTGGCTGACCCCCACACTGCTCACACCTGCCTGGCTGACCCCCACACACTGCTCACACCTGCCTGGCTGACCCCCCCCCCCGGCACTGCTCACACCTGCCCAGGGCCCAGCTGCCCCTGTGAAAGGAACACTGGCAGGTGGCCTGGGAATCACCTCTCAGAGCACAGAGATGAATCCAGGGATCCTTTGAAAAAACCTACCTGATGTTCCCTTTTCTACTCCTAAGGACTGGCGTTGGGAAGACAGGGAGTGATTCGGCTTTGGGACAGGAAGCCTGGGATGCCAACGTGCGGTGACTCCGTCCTCCGGGGCGGGAGTTCGCGGTGACTCTGGTCTCTGGTCTCCCGGGGCAGGGTGACTCTGGTCTCCCGGGGCAGGAGTTCGCACTGACTCTGGTCTCTGGTCTCCAGGGGCAGGGTGACTCCGTCCTCCGGGGCGGGAGTTCGCGGTGACTCTGGTCTCTGGTCTCCAGGGGCAGGAGTTCGCGGTGACTCTGGTCTCTGGTCTCCCGGGGCGGGAGTTCGCGCTGACTCTGGTCTCTGGTCTCCAGGGGCAGGAGTTCGCGGTGACTCTGGTCTCTGGTCTCCCGGGGCAGGGTGACTCTGGTCTCCCGGGGCGGGAGTTCGCGGAGACTCGGCCTCCCGGGATGTGAACGTGCAGTGATTCCGGTCGTCCTGACTCAGGTGGCAGTGATGCTAGTCAAGGTGTGATCGCGATGAACCCGGAGTCTTGTTTCTGGGCTGGCAGAGCAGCTATGTGGCAGCCTCTTCTGAAACACATCAGGATGAAGTGTCTATGTCACTAACTCGATGGAGCAGAACTAGGCTTGTGTGTGCACAGACAGCTGTGAGCCAACCTGTCCGTGGCCCTGGCCACGGCAGTGTGGACGCTGAGTTTGAGATGCCCTCGGGGAGGTTTGTTCTCAGCTGCCGTGCCCCTCCCCACACTGTGGAGCAGCAGGGCGCGTCTCACCGAGAGGACTTGGAGATTTCCCCGGGGCCAGAAAGCCCGAAGGTCAAAATCCCTGGGAGAAAAGAAACGACAGCGCAGGCTGGCCCGTGACTCTGTACAGCCGTCCGGTGCCCCAGCTTTCCAAGTCCGGTGCCGGAAGTCGCGGGGGGGCGGGTGTGCCCGGGCACCGCGGCCCGCTGTGTTCTCACCAGCATCGCTGCTGTCTTGCAGGAGGAAGGCATCGTGAAGGAGATCGACATCAGTCTCCACGTGAAGGAAGGGTTCGAGAAGGCAGACCCCTCCCAGTTCCAGCTGCTCAAGGTTTTAGGACAAGGATCTTATGGGAAGGTGAGCTCAACTCTGATTGGCTGAGCAGGTCTCTTTAAACACAAAGGAAACTGGGCTGAACCTAGGGATGAAAGCCGTAGGTGCCCCCATCCGCTGCCAGGAGCTGCCCGGATGGAGCTCTGTCCTCACAGGCCGCACTGGGCGTGGTCAGCCGTCCACGCTCCCCGCTCTCTGAGAGCTTCCTGGGTGTAGGCTCATCACCAAAGGGGAAATTAGGGGCCTTGAGCCAATGATCCTTGGAAGAGCAGCCGCTACAGTATTTTCAAAAGAAAGAAAAAGTAGGAGAAAAGAAAAGAAAAGCCTTCGTGCTTGGCCGACCTGATGCTGCTCAGGAATTTGGAGGCTGGGATTTGGAGGCTGGGATTTGGAGGCTGGCTCCTCTCCTCTCCTGCACATCAGTTACACAATGCCTTGGTTTCCCTACTCATGACTGATACTAGTTAATGTACATAATTGTGCTATAGATTAAGACATCACTCTGTCCTTTTTATTCTTCCTTCAAACCACAGAAATAAGAGCTAATTCCTTTCAGAAATTCATGAGCACTGGCTTTTCCTCTGGTGTGCTGCCCATCTGTGTAATGGGATATCAGTAGGCACCTTTCAGTTATGATGACGATGATTTATGCCATGTAATCTCTCTGTGTCACAGTGTTAGCCGCTAGCAAGGGCTCTGACGATGGGTTCCTGAAAGGAAGGGCTGAAGTACAGCACAGAGCCAACACCCCTGAGTAAGCAGAGCGGTCCTGGCACTTGAGCATAACACGCTGTGTGCTGCAGGTGCACCCTCACAAATCTCTCTGCCCTCACTGCCAGATGAAGCCCTGTGCTGGCCAATTCAACTTGTGTGGGTACAGAAATGCACCCAGTATTTACCTTTGTCATGCTTATAAGGTAGAATATCTTCTTCTTTTCTCTCTTCCCACGTGCCAATGACTGACAAATGTGTGTTTATATTGTATTTATATTATCCTATTATATTGCATGATCCTATTATGCCGTATTACACTTATGTTATACCCATGTGGATTACTGTCATTTGGGACCTATGAAAATGGCTATTAAATGTGGTTCAGTGGTGTTTAGGAAATGCAGACTACCCTCTTTCACAATGTGAGTGGCCATCACCAAAAAACAAAAGCTACAGAGCCTGCTTAAGAGATGCCTCCCATTAATCCGAAGTGTAGGGAGTCGCTAGCGTTACAGGCGTGCACCCCTGGTGCCCAGAAGTATAGGAGAACCAGCGGAAGAATGCTGTATGAAGCAGGATTTGAGAACAGTGACCAGGTCCCTCCCTTTGGCCTTCCAGAGGCCCAGCCCTAGGTCCCCACGGCGCGAAGCTGCGCTGCTCGGGACTGGAAGATCTGCGGCTGTGGTTGGCTGGCCCGGCTGCCGCGTGAGTCTTGCCACATGGTGGCTGTTCAAGGCCCAGGTGGTGCCGAGCCACCGGGAGCCAGCGCTCCCCAGCTCGCGAGGCATGCCGAGCCACCGGGAGCCAGCGCTCCCCAGCTCGCGAGGCATGCCTAGCGCCCCGGGCTCAGTCAGCAGCCAAACTGCACAGAACCGCCCTTGATCACGCTGCCGGGGAGCCAGCGAACTCCGGACAGGAGGAGCACGGCTGCCCGATGCCCCATTCACCCTGCAGAGCCCAGAGCTTGAGAAAGAAAAATGAACCATTCCTTGGAAAACAAGTGCACAAATAGCATTAGGGACACATGCCTAGCTTCCTTCCCAGACATCTTAAAACTGCTGGTTGTGTACTGACCTTTGCTATCATGGAGAAGGGAACTGGGGACCGAGGCCCAAAGGATACCGTCCCGAAGAGAGAGGACAAGGCAGAGGTGGCTCTGTGGCAGGGCCCCTGGAAAACCCTTTCTCCTGGCCACTGCTGCCCCATGTCTGCCTGTTGAGAAGCTGGCCACCCCACTGAGGGTGGCCTCACCCAGCACACCTGCCCAAGGCAGCGTCCTCCATGTGAGGGACTTCCCGGGCTGCAGAACTGTGTGCGGGGCAGGGCCCCAGCGGGGCTCCACGCAGCACACCCTGCATGGCTGCCCACACACGCAGGGGCACTGTGGCCCCCCGGGGTGTGTCCAGTCGTGGGGACACCACACACAGGCACACACGTCCCGAACACCAACATGGTCCTAACCAACAGAGGCCTGGCACTGCCAGGACAGGCTCTGCTCTCCTGAGACCCTGTCTCAAAAAGAAAAGAAAGACCCTAGTGGTGTTCACACCACAGCATCCGCCCAGCAAAGGCCGGAGGGAGCTCGTGGGAATTGTCCAAGTGTCCCCAGCCCTGCGTCTCCCACCGGCTCGGTGCTTGGGAGAGGGGTGCCGCGGGTGTTTGTTGGTGACCTTTCTCTAGACCTCCCTGTGGGCCCTGTTGTCAGTCGGAGGGTGATGGGCTGGAGTCTGGGCAGTGATGCACGCCATGTCTTCTGCTTGTCAGGTGTTCCTTGTGAGGAAGGTCACGGGATCCGACGCCGGCCAGCTCTACGCAATGAAGGTCCTTAAGAAAGCCACCTTGAAAGGTAGGTGACGCGGACGCCTGGCCCGCCCGTGAGGGCGCCTCACACCCTTGTCTCTGCAGGAGCGCGTGGGGCACGTGACTCCTCAATCGATGACAAATAGTGCAAACATTTCCCCGGGTACTGAAATATCCCCACGATTGCCACGGCCTTCAGAGAAGAGCGCACACAGCGCCCTGCGGGCAGGAGCGCGGCAAGGAGGAGGCCGGCCGTGTGCACGGCTGCCAGGACAGCAGCCCCAACACCAGTGCGACCGGGTTGTTGGGCGTCACAGACATGTCCCCAGCACTGGCAGCTGGACATTCAGTCCTGCGATGATTGGTTTCCGCCTCTGGCTCCTGCCCTCCAAGCATGGTGTGAGCACAGGGCCCGTAGAGGTGAGCCGCATGGCCTGCCTCCGACCCGTCCGCAGCACCGGGCAGCTGCCCCACCCTGGTCCCCGTGCCCCCTGCGTCGAGGGAGAGACCCACACCCTGAACGGCGGAGGACGGCTGCGTGTACCCAGCATGGACGATGAGTGAGAGCGGACAGCGGTGGCTCCCACCAGGAGGCGCAGCCCCCCGGCCCGTCTGCAAGGTGCCCTGGCGCCAGGGCTGCAGCCGGAGGAGTCTGTGGGAGCAGGAGGGGCCCTGCTCCGGTGTGGCGAGCTGGAGGCTGGCAGGACGGACGGGGCCTTCTGTGAGACGGGATTGCTGCTGCTGGCAGGCTCGCCGAGGAGGGGCAGGACCGGGCACTCCCAGCCGACCAGGGGGCCCTGTGAAACTCAGAAGGTATCAGAAACACTTGGACGTGGTCTTACAGCACAGGGCCACGGGAGGTCGAAGGACACGCCTGTCTCCTCCTGCAGGTCATTGGCTCCCTAGCTGGCGAAATTAATCTATAGACAGCCAACGACGTAAGGCGGCGAATGCGTGGAGCAAGTCTATGCAGACTGCAGCCATCTTAGTTATCCAAGGAAGGGGCTGAGATCAGCAGGAGATGAGACGTGAGATGTAGAGGATGGATGATTTCCCTCACCGTCCCGATATCCGCACAGCCCAATGTCTGCAAAATGCCAGTGCTGAGGGCGCAGGCAGCTGGAGCTGGCTCTCACCCCGATCTGAACTCAGACTAGTGTGCTGTAGTTCAGAGAGCAGAGCCTGGATTTAACGTCTTGATGAGTTGCTCCTATCATATCATTCCTATGAACATAAAGTCTCAGGGCATTCTAGTCCACTAACACCCTTGAGTTTGTAGTTGAGTATTACCAATAGCAACACAACTCTGCATTCAAGTATGCAACAACCCCCCCAAAACAAACCATACTGGACTTTTAGTAATATTTACAATATAAATATTCTAGAACAATTAGATTCACATTCTCATATTGTGAAATTGAGCCCTATACACAAAAAAGAAAGGAATATTTTCCATCTCCTCATGTTCCTTTCAAAGTCAACTGGAAAACTAAACATTATTTGACACCCAGCAGTGTTTTAGCTTTCAACGATGGTCTCACACTAAAGAATAGAAACTTATCTCCAGAAATCCAATTTCAGTCTCCTTTTCTTTACAAGAAACCAGAAAAGTGTCCTGTGCAGAGCTGTCCTGTGCAGAGCTGTGTGTGCAGAGCTGTGTGTGCAGAGCTGTCCTGTGCAGAGCTGTCCTGTGCAGAGCTGTGTGTGCAGAGCTGTCCTGTGCAGAGCTGTGTGTGCAGAGCTGTCCTGTGCAGAGCTGAGTGTGCAGAGCTGTGTGCAGAGCTGTGTGTGCAGAGCTGTGTGTAGAGCTGTCCTGTGCAGAGCTGTCCTGTGCAGAGCTGTGTGTGCAGAGCTGTGTGTGCAGAGCTGTCCTGTGAAGAGCTGTCCTGTGCAGAGCTGTGTGTGCAGAGCTGTGTGTGCAGAGCTGTCCTGTGCAGAGCTGTGTGTGCAAAGCTGTCCTGTGTGTACAGAGCTGTGTGTGCAAAGCTGTCCTGTGCAGAGCTGTCCTGTGCAGAGCTGTGTGTGCAGAGCTGTCCTGTGCAGAGCTGTGTGTGCAGAGCTGTTCTGTGCAGAGCTGTCCTGTGCAGAGCTGTGTGTGCAGAGCTGTCCTGTGCAGAGCTGTGTGTGCAGAGCTGAGTGTGCAGAGCTGTCCTGTGCAGAGCTGTCCTGTGCAAAGCTGTGTGTGCAGAGCTGTGTGTGCAGAGCTGTCCTGTGCAGAGCTGTGTGTGCAGAGCTGTGTGTGCGGCCCCAGGGTCACGTTGCGGCCGTGCTGTACTCGGCAGCCGCCTGGCTCTCCCCGCGCACCTTGCTTCGGGTCCCTCACAGGCAGAAGAGAGTGGGTTCAAAGGAGCATCTCCTCTCCAGTCCCAGACCTCCGTGTCCCGTCAGCCCGCGCCCCAGCGCCGCAGCTCCAGTCCCACCTTCACCACGGTGCATTTGCGGGCCAGCTAGCAGTTCTCAGCTACGCGCTAGAGCGCGGAGGGCGCGGGCCCGGCCCAGCCCTGCCCTCGGCCCAGGGCCGGCGGCTGCGTCTCATGCGTTGGTTAAGGCATGTTGCAAAGGAAACATTAAACGAGGGGCAGCAGTGCTGTGGAAATAATTTTTAAACATCAGAATGCTTCTCAAGACGCGCGTGCTGGCTGCGGTGCAGGGAGGGGGACGCTGTGGCAGTGGGTGGGCTCTGCCGGGGGGACGGCGTCACTGACCGCTCAGCCCTCCTTGAGTGGCCTGGCATGCCAGCCACACCCCTCCCGTTCTTCTCTAAAGAAGTGACAGATTATTTCCTCGCGGTGTCAGCTGCGCCACCCTGAAGGAGGATGTTGACGGGTGCACGCTGGCTCTCCACCGCTCCCTTCCACCCTCTCCCGCTCTCCCGGCCTCACCTGGAATCCTGCCACTTAAGGATGCTCGGGGATCTTCAAGCTCTGGAAACTGGCAGCGTCTGTGTGCGTGACTCGCAGAGTGACTGCAGGCAGCAGTTCTAAGTCATGCGCCCAAGGAACAAATCCAAGTGCCATGCCCGCTTGTGTTGAAAGAACGTTCCACACAGGTGCCCGGACAGGAGCTTGGGCCTGTCTGATCCTCTGGTCGGCAGCTTAGCCTGCTGCTTGTGCGGCGGGACTGTTCTCTTGCCGGCTGTGAGCGGCCGTTGCCAGGGCCCTTCAGACACTGCTGGTGTCTGGAGCCACCCCCGGCTCTACCGTGGCGTCCGAGCACAAGAAGTGTGAGTCGGCACGGAGGCTCGCTGAGGCCCAGGGCCGGAGCCGCGCCCAGCCCGCTGGTCTCCCTGTGCTGTCCGGCGAGTCTCCCCTCACCCCTTTGCCTCCTTCCTGAGTCAAGTGATGTCACCGACACTTGGTGGCAGTGCAGTTGGTGAGGGTGCGCGCGCGTGTGCACACACACACGTCCGGGAGGGGTTGGCTTGTGCATCTCTGGTCCTTTTCTCCATGGAGGTCTGGGTCTGACAGTGTTAGGGCCGCCCTGGTCCAGGACTGGCTCCGGCCTGTCTGTATCAGGGAGAGCCAGCAGGGCTGCACTGTGATTGAACGTTAGGTAGAAGTCTGTGGCTAAGCTTCGTTCTCCCAGTGAGGGACTTGGTATGTAGTTAATGGCCACATTTATACAGCACAGTGACCGGCCCTGCTCCTCAGAAGGTAGAATTCTGGCCTCCATACGCTATCTCCCAAGTAATTTTTGTTTTTGTTTTGTTATTTTGGGGAGAATTTTTTCTGTGTGGGGATTTTTTTGGTGGGGGGCTAGGGTTTTCTTTTTGAGATAGTCTTTAAAAAAAAAAAACTTAAGCAGTGTGCCAGTGGCTCACGCCTGTAAATCCTAGCTACTCAGGAGACTGAGATCTGAGGATCACAGTTCAAAGCCAGCCCAGACAGAAAAGTCCTCATGAGACTCCAATTAACCACCAGAAAGCCAGAAGTGGATGCGGTGGCTCAGAGAGCTCAGGGCAGTGCCCAGGCCCTGAGTTCAAGACCCACGACTGACAAAAAGAGAGACAGACAGACAGACAGACAGACAGGCAGAGGCAGGGTCATACTGAAGAATCAGATCTCTCAGAATGTTAATAATGGTTAAATCTAAGTGGAGGGGTAATCATTATACTACTGCAAGTCACACGTGCAATAAAAGGCTGAAGGAGTTGTTTATCCACTTTTTTTCTATTCTCTGATCCACTAAACATATTTTGGTGCCATTTCTGGGGCTTGAACTCAGGGCCTGGACACTGTCCTTAAGTTCAAAGCTAGTACTCTACCACTACTGTCCAGTTTGGGTGTTTAATTGGAGATAAGACTCTTACGGACTTTCCGGCTCAGGCTGGGTTCCAGCCTTGATCCTCAGCTCTCAGCCTCCGGAGTAGCTGGAGTTACAGGTGTGAGCCTCCAGTGCTGGTCTCGCCTCTGAACAGCTTTGGTTTCTGTCCTGCAGTCCGAGACCGAGTCAGATCCAAGATGGAGAGAGACATCCTGGCGGAAGTGAATCACCCATTCATCGTGAAGCTCCACTACGGTGAGTGAGCGGCGGGCGGGTGGGAGGAGGGTGCGGGTGGCCTTCCCGGGCAAGGGGCACGGGAAAGGTATTTTAGCAGAAAATCTTTCCTGTGTCATAGATTCTGGACCTCTGTGAGGCCAAGGCTCTTGGCCTTTATCTCTTTTCTATTTGCTTTCCCTACAAGACTAAGATGTCTTCCTTATGTTTGAATTATCACCTTTGGTAATGTGGGACCAATGTGAGCTATGCCATAGTTCTGTGCTGGTTCAGAATAAAGTGTAACTTGGGGTGTGTGTGTGTGTGTGTGTGTGACTTGGGGTGTGTGTGTGTGTGTGTGTGTGTGTGTATGTACCTGTGGGCGTGTGCATGTGCCAGTACTGGAGCTTGAACTCAGGACCTTGCGCGCGCGCGCACACACACACACACGCACACACACACACACACACACGCCTCAATCAAGGCTGGTGTCACCCCTGCACTTCTGGCATTCAGTAGCTAATTCAAGCTGCTGGCCCAGGGGCCAGGGACCCTGGGGCACCCTGCACAGAGCCCGGGACAGTGGGGAGGATGGGGGAGCCCTGACCCCGGCGCGCCCATGCGTGTAGCCCAGAGCATGAGTTGTGCAGGCCACGTCTGTGTCTCACTGGAAACTGCCTGCACTGGCACGCGCAGAGGCTTTTACACAGAATGTGTGTGTTACCATGCGGTGTCACAGGGCCCGAGGTGGACACGGCATCCACTTCGTGGCCACACCGCCCGCCCCGGGTTTCCGGGTGTCAGGATTTATAGCGGTTCTAGCATTTACTTTTAGAGTGAGAGGTCTCAGGAGCACAGAGATGCCAGGACCGCTCCCAGCAGCGGCTCCTGTGTCAGAGCACGGGACAAACGATAGCCTGGCTGGGCTGGGCTGTCATGGCGGACACACCTCACTGGCCCGGCCTGGCCACCTCGCTGCTGGTCCTCACGAGGCCATTCAGTCCCGGCATGCCAGGGGAAGGGAGGGAGGGAGGGGAGGAAGGAGGTAGGGCAGGGAAGGAGGAGAGGAGGGAGGGTGGGGGGAAGAGAAAGAAAAGTAAGGTCTCCAGACCCCAACAAAAGCGAGACACAGAACTCAGCACGCCTGTCCTCCGCTGGTCTGTCCTGCGAGCTGCCTCCGGCTGGGGCTGGTGCCTTTCGGAAGCCACAGCTCTGCAGGATCACAGTCTTGGAACCAAAGAGAGACCAGGCCTGGGGCCCGCAGAGACACTGTCAGAGAGGTGGCCCTGCAGTGCTGACGCGTGTCTATCCGCAGCCTTCCAGACAGAAGGGAAACTCTACCTGATTCTGGACTTCCTGCGTGGAGGGGACCTCTTTACCCGGCTCTCCAAAGAGGTGAGCGCCCCATTCCCCATGGTGTCTGTCCAGAACGAGCAAACCCGAGTGAGCGTCCTGCTCCTCCCCAGAGTTCCATCCAAAGGCGGCGGCCTGGGGAGACACACGGGGTAGCGTCTGCTGTTCTTTGCCACATGATGGTTTCTGTTTGCTGTCCAGGGGGCTTCCAGCCCTCCAGACCTCCAGCCACAGTGCCTGCAGTTCACTAAAGCAAGGTCATAGGTCACTCTCCCTGATCTGGGGGCTCCTCGGTCCGTGCTCAAAGGGGACTCGCGCCTCCTTGTGATCCGGGAGGATGCTGGGTGGAGGAATCAGGCCCAGGTTCTAGATGAAACTAGAGTGCCTGGGCTTGGCTGGTGACTGGTGCCCGCCCGTGTGCGGCTGACACCCACACGGCGTCCCCCGGCATGTCACACCGCCATCGGTCACTCTGCGTGGCTCCCTGCACGCCAAAGAAGTGGCAGGGCCACTGTGGGTGTGGGCGCGTGTGTGCGTGCGCACACACACACATCTTGGAAACGTGAAAAAACTTTCCTCGCACTTCCACCTTGCAGCATGCTGTTTTAAGCCTAGTGCAATACCACGTGTGCGCCCCAGGAGCTCACATCTGGGCAGTGGCTTGTATGGACTTGGGGACCGCATTGCCATGCGCCCCGAGACTGGGGTGTCGGAAGACCCCGGGCTCCAGAGGGCCCTGTGCGGGGCCCATGGTGTCCAGCATGCGGGTACTTTATTTCTACACGTGGATGAACACCAGCCCAGGGGATGTGACCCCAGCACGGGAACCAACATTGGATGAGGGTGACTGTGACCCTGGCACATAGATGAGCCTCAGAGGAGGGGCAATTTGGCTCTAAGCAAGGCACCAAGTACGTGAACCAGGTTAGAAAAGCACAGCAGAGACAGTGCTGGCCGCCGGCGCAGGGATTGGCGGGGCTCAGCGGCTGTCCCTCCACGAGGCCCCGGGAGGCCTGTGGCGCCCTGGCCACCCAGCTCCCACTCTTCATGTCTGTTTTCCGGGAGAACGTGGGGCGGGGGAACTGGAGTGTGTGTGCTGACACCTTGTGGTGACTGTAGGCAGTGCCTTCTGATGGGGTTCACCCTCCTGCTGCCCTGGCCAGAGGCACGTTCCCATGCGGTCCGGGAGCCACGGCCAGGACACGGCCTCCCCCCCCCCAGCCCGTGCACTGCATGGGCTCCCGAGTGTCCCCCCCTCCAGGCACCAGGCCTTCCTGTCCAGTCCCCACCTCCACCAGGCCGGTTCAACCCAGCCTTTGAGAGTCATTGGCACCTACCCCACACTCAGGGAACCTCACCGCCTGGCGGCCTGAGGCTGGGCACGTGTGCCCGGTGCTTGTTTGGCAGGAGTTGCTGCAGGTTCTAGGCTGCAGGTTTGCATCAGCCAGCCTGGGGGGGGGGGAGCGGTGACTGATGGAAGGGAGAGCGATGAGATTCAAGGCCGCTGTCCAGCCTGGAGTCACCTCCCCGGTGTGGCTTAGCTATTTGAGTTGAGAGGCTATGAGCCCACGCAGAAGCACCGGTATCAGAAGGTAAGCACAGGGTTACTCCAGAGCCAACGGGCTACGGGGCGAGGCGGGCCGGGCCCGAGGCAGGCAAGCGGGTCAGCCGCTCCTCTGGCAAAGGGCTGCGTGTGCTCCTTCCAGAACTGAGTCCCGGTCCCCTGCAGTGTCTGCAAAACCAGCGGCGGCATAACAAGCTGCCCCCGGGCCTCTCCCTGCAGGTGATGTTCACGGAGGAGGATGTCAAGTTCTACCTGGCGGAGCTGGCCCTGGCTCTGGACCACCTCCACAGCCTGGGGATCATCTACAGAGACCTGAAGCCCGAGAAGTAAGTGACGAGAGAGGTCCTCCGGGGCCCACGCTGCCATGTGGGCAGCACCGCAGAGGCACCCTGCTGTCAGAGCTCCGGCCCCAGGCCCACACTCTGCCCCGCACCTGGCCACAGGGGCCGCGCGGGCCCCCGCCGTCAGAGCTCCGGCCCCAGGCCCACACTCTGCCCCGCACCTGGCCACAGGGTCCCTTGCTGATTCCCGTGGGGCATCGCCAGGGCTGTTCTCACCCCATCGGCGGGCAGCTGTGACGGCCAGGCCCAGCTCTGGATCATGCTGACCTGGCCGGAGCTGGCCCCAGCTCTGATCCATTTCCCACCGGCTTCTGCCACCAGACGTGTCAGGCAAGGCTCTCATCCCAGCCACCGGTCTCTCCTCTTCTCCCCTGTCCTCTCCACACCCAGGGGCCCAGCCTACCAGGTGTTAGCCAGACTGAGGCCACCCCAGCTTTCCCAAGACGTCAGCTGTGAGGCTGTGGCCTTAGGTCCCACCAGCATCCATATGTCCTCAGAGATGGAGATCAGTTATGTTTTTAGCTTTAGGATCTGTGTGTCTTTGGAGATGGAGATCGGTCCTGATTTTAGCTCTAGGAGCTGTGAGTCTTCAGAGATGGTCATCACAGTAATTGATTGTTTTTAGCTCTAGGATCCATGTGTCTTCAGAGGAGTTTGGTCATCGTTTTAGCTTTAGGATCTTGTGTGTCTCTAGAGATGGAGGTCCATCATGGTTTTAGCTCTAGCACACTTTGCTGATCTTGGCTACATAAAGCATCAGCACCCGCCAAAATGGTGCCCTTCCATTGCAGATTTTCTTTTTCCACCCTCTGCATGGAGCTGACATGTGCACTCAGTGTGATCTGCTTACACAGGAGACACAGGGGCATTTTAGGGTCCCCAGGTTATCCTGAGATAACTACCAATGGTCTCACTCACAGCTCTACGAGGCTGAGCACAGAGACACAGCCAGACCTGCCTCAGGCAGGCGCTGCCTGGTGCCCTGCCCAGGTGGTGTGTTCCTGGCGTGCTGCCCGGGTGGCGTGTTCCTGGCATGCTGCCTGGGTGGCGTGTTCTTGGTGTCCTGCCCCCAGTGGCATGTTCCTGGTGGGCACACCAAGGCAGCCCCAGCCACATCCTCTGCAGACTGGTCACAGCCTAAGGACAGATGCCAGCACATGCTCCTCGTCGGTCTGCTCTCCTGCACTGCTCTGAGGTTGCCTTCTAGGTGAACATCCCATGACCCCACAGACATGCTGTGGACAGACTCTGTGACCTTACAGACATGATACAGACTGACCGCTGTGACCCTGCAGACATGGTGTGGACAGACTCTGTGACCTTACAGACATGATACAGACTGACCGCCGTGACCCTGCAGACATGGTGTGGACAGACTCTGTGACCTTACAGACATGATACGGACTGGCCTCCATGACCCCACAGACATGGTGTGGACAGATCCCTGTGACCCCGCAGACATATGGACTGACCCCTGTGACCCCACAGATATGATACGGACTGACCCCTGTGACCCTGCAAACATGATATGGACTGACACCCATGACCCACAGACATGGTGTGGACAGACCCCCGTGACCCTGCAGACATGATATGGACTGACCCCTGTGACCCACAGACATGGTGTGGACAGACCCCCGTGACCCTGTGTGTCTGCTGGGCTGGAAGTGTGTGCTCATTTATAGAAGTCATAGTGATTCGAATGGCTCAAAATAGGAGGAAGAGTGAGGGGTTTTTTTGTTCAATTGAAATTGTTAGGGACTGGATCTTGAAAGCTGCTTGATTCTGAGCAGAGATTGAGTAGAACCACTCACAAAGAGGGAGCATGTGCTTCTTTAAGTATGGCGTGTCAACCTCTCCCTGCCCCCACGGAGAGGTAGACATTCTCCCCCCACAGCAGAGAGGTTGCAATCACGTTCATAGACAGACAGCACGAGCCACCGTTTTGGCCATGGTGTCCAGCGTGTCCCAGCATCACGTCACTGACCATCGCTGAGACTATCTCCACTATCACTGTGCCACGGAGCTTCTGACCCCTCTCCTCCCTGGTCACCCCCATTCTGTGCGTCCACACGAAGAGCAGTGTGGGGCTTCCTCGTCCAGCGGCAGGGAGGGCGGCGGCAGAGCTACCCACCACCCGCACAGGACGGCGCAGCCGGCCCGTGGGGCTGGGGCAGGCCGAGCTGGGCACACTGGCCGGCCGGCCTCGTTCTGAAGCTCTGTGGTCTCTCCCTCTTACAGCATTCTCCTGGACGAAGAGGGGCATATTAAGATCACAGGTTTGTAAAAATAAATTAAAACTAAACAAAACGTTCCTCCTCCGCGATGCCATCTCAGCCCTGGTCACCTGCTCATTTGCTGGCTTTGGGCTCTGGGCCTCCCAGCGTGGGCACCTGAGCCCGCTCTCTGCCCACCCCTCCCACGGCCACGCCAGGCCCGAGACTTCTCTCAGGACCTGTGCTCGGCACCCCGGATGCCTGGTTCAGGGCCCACCACGGGGCGTCCAGCCCACGCTGGGCCGGGTCAGGCATGAGGGCCTCCTCCCTCCGCCTCTCCCCAGCCCGCATCCCCTGGCACAGCTGTTTTCCTGAAGCCCCAGTCGGAGTGACCCCACTGGCGGCAGCCAGCCGCCTGGCCGCGGGCCTGAGGTGGCCGAGCTCGCCGTGGCTGCTGTAGCAAGCCCCCAGGCCCCAGGGCACCTGCCACCTCCACCTGGCGGCCACAGCCCCACAGGCTCATCCCACGATGGCCGCAGGCCGCTCCCTGTCCTGCCGGCCCTCAGGAGCTGCCCTTCCGCATGGCTGGGGCCCGTCCTGCGTGGCAGGACCTCGACTGACACCTGCCACGTCACCTGTGAGGACCCCGGCCTGACCCTGGCCTGGGTGACAGCACGGCCGGCCCCGCCCCGATACCCCGCCCCCGTCCACACTCAAGCGCCTCACAGACAGAGACCGCGTTCTGAAGCAGCACCGCTTCCGCCCCTCGGCCCTCCCGGAGCAGCTCCGGGCTGGAGAGGAAGGGAGGGCGGAGGGAGGCCAGGCCGGCCAGCCGCGCGGCCCGAGTGCCCAGGCGTGCACAGGTGGCTCTGAGCCCAGGCTGGCACAGAGCGGCTGTGTGGTCTGTTTGCACGTAGACTTCGGCCTGAGCAAGGAGGCCATCGACCACGACAAGCGGGCCTACTCCTTCTGCGGCACCATCGAGTACATGGCGCCCGAGGTGGTGAACCGGCGCGGGCACACGCAGAGCGCCGACTGGTGGTCCTTCGGTGTGCTCATGGTAATGGCTCATGGAGGCGGGGGAGGGGGGCGGCACCTCCCTGTCCCTCCCGTGTCCTGGGGTGGGGGGGTGGGGGCAGCACCGCCCTGTCCCTCCCGTGTCCTGGGGTGGGGGCTCCCCGAGATGTACTCCTCCCCGTCTGGACCTCCCACCTCAGCTTGGTCCAGGGATTCAGAAAGGAGGGAGGAAAACGGGGCTTCCAAGGCACGTGTCAGCCTTGGGCTCTTGGCACAGGAGACAGCGAGCTTCTGGAAAGTTCCCAACAGCCCCTACCTCCTCCTGCCCATCCCCAGTGCCTACCATCAGCAAATGAACCTGAGACTGGGTGTAGTGGCTCATGCCTATAATCCCCGCTACTCCAGAGATGGAGGTAGGAAGAGGAAGTCTGAGGCCCCAGCTGACCTCAGACCTTATCTGGAAAAGAAACTAAAGGCAAGAGGGATGGGGCATGGCTCAAGTGCTAGAGTGCTGTTCTCTGAGTTTAATTCCCATTACTGCCAAACACAAGGAAGAGGAGGAGAAGGTGGTGGGGGAGGGGGAGGAAGAGGAGGAGAAGAGAAGGAGGAGGAGGAGAAGAGAAGGAGGAGGAGGAGAAGAGAAGGAGCAGGAAGAGGAGAAGAAAAGGAGGAGGAGGGGGAGAAAGAAGATGAAAATGGACCTGAGATTCCAATCCGAATGTAACTATAGTAAAGGCCAAGCCTGTATGTTTCACTGTGCAGATGTAATGAAGGTTTTAGGGTACAGGTTGATTTCCATGGTAAAGAGTTTTAGTTGAGCATATTTTAATCCACCACAGACCCCGTTTCCTTCCCTGACAGAGCTGAGGGTTTCGGTGCCTGGGACCAGGTGGCCTCCATGGTAATGG